CGACAGAGTCTTGGAGCACGCTCAGGGTGCGCTGGGGCAGCCGCTCACCGCGACTGCGCGCGAGGTGGCCTTCCTGCCCTTGGCGGGCAGCGGGCTTGGCCTGCACAGCTTGGAGGAGCGACGTCTGCCCGCGTTCGTGGGTTCCTGGCAGGCATGCTTGGCGGAGGTGCGCCGCGAGCTCGGCGAGCCCAGCCTCCAGGCCTTCGCCGCCGCCTGCCCTCAGACGTGGGCGACGGCCGAGCAAGCGGGGCGGCTGGCTGGGACGAGCGCCACTGCCTGGGTCTACGCCGCAGCCGAACGCCCGGAGAGGGCGCAGAAGCGTTTGACTCAGCCGGCGCAGCAGCAGCGACGCGCCCGCCTGCTGGCCTCCTTGCCGGCGAGCGAAGCCGCCAGCCTCCGCTCCGCGGGCGGCAAAGGCGCGGGCGCCTTCCTCTTGCTCCCGACGCGGCAAGACCACCTCCTGGCTGACGAGCACCTGCAACCAGCGCTCGCCCTCCGGCTGCGCCTGCCACTGCCCGAGGGAGCCAACCCCACCTGCCTGCGGCGGAGGAGCGACGGCACGGTCTGCGGCTGCGACTTGCGCGCGGACCCCGGCCACGCGGTAGGCTGCCCCGCGGGCGGCCTGGCCATCGAGAAGCACGACGGCGTGCGCGACTGGCTGGCCGGCTGGTTGGCTGAGCAGGGCGCCGCGGGCGTGGACACCGAGCAGGCCGTGCCCGCCTGGGACCGCGCCCGCCCAGATGGCAGCGTGGAAGCCGCGCGCTTGGACGTGACCTACGTTGACCCTGTCGCTGGGCGGCAGTACGTCGACGTCACGGTCACCGACGCTGCGCTCGGGGCTGGCACGGGCGCGGGCCGCAGCCGCGCGACCAGGGACGGCGCCGCGGCCGCAGCGGCCGAAGAGCGCAAGCACCGGCGCTACCCAGGGCCCGCGCTCCTCGCCTTCGCACTCGAGACGCTGGGCCGGCCTGGGAAGGAGGCGCAGGCCCTGCTGCGCATTTGGTCTGCCGGGGACCCACAAGTCCTCGCGGCCGCGCGGCAAAGCCTCTCTGCCGCGCTGCAGCGGGGCAGCGCCGAAGCCTGGCGGACTGCCGTGCTGCCGCGGGGCGGCGCGGCCCGGCGGACGCCTGCCGCGAACCCCGGCGCGCCGCCAGCGCGGCGCGCGCGGCGCGCGTAAGCGCGCCTGCCCTGGCTGCTGGCCGCTGACCCGGCGCGACCCGCGGCCCGGCCCCCTGGCGCCGCCGCGGCTGCTGGAGCTGCACCCCACGCCGCGGACGCTGCGGCGTGGCCGCCGCGGGCGCGCATTGGGCCAGGTGGGGGAGGATTCAGACCTCCTACGTCACAACCACCTGGCCCGCGGCCCGCGGCGGCGCCCGGCGCCGCGCGGCACGGCGCCCGGCGGCGGCGGCTCGGCGGCGGCGCGCCGCGGCGGCGGCGGCCGCGACGGCGCCTGGCGGCGCAGACGCCTCGCCCGGCGGCGGGCGGCAGCTGCGGCGGCTCGCGGCGGCGCGCGGCGGGGCGCGGCGGCCGCGCGTGCCGCGCTCGCCGAAAGGCCCCGGGGCCCCCCGCGGACTCGGGAGCCCCGGGGCCACCGCCGCAGGAGGAGGAGGAGGAGGAAGAGGAGGAGGAGGAGGAGGAGGAGGAGGAGGGAGAGGCTTCATGGCTGAATGGCGCTTGGAGTGGAAACCCTCGCGTCCTGCCGCCCATCCAGACGCCTCCTAGATGGGGTCGGAGTAGATGGGGTCGACCAATACTGAAACCAGCGCCTCGCCAGAGACATCCTCGGAAACTGCTCCGAAAAAGAATGATGCTGGGCACCCAAACAGGCAAACCGCCTGAGACATCCCCCCAATCTGGGCGCGAACGGGCCTGTTATATGCCCACTGGCGCCCCCCTTTGGAGCGCCTCGCCTGAGACATCCTCGGAAACTGCTCCGAAAAAGAATGATGCTGGGCACCCAAACAGGCAAACCGCCTGAGACATCCCCCCAATCTGGGCGCGAACGGGCCTGTGATATGCCCCCTGGCGCCCCCCCATGAAAGTACTGAAACCAGCGCCTCGCCTGAGACATTCTCGGAAACTGCTTCGAGAGAGAGGGAGAGAGAGAGAGAGAGAATGATGTTGGGCACCTCAACAAGCAAACCGCCTGATACATCCCCCCAATCTGGGCGCGAACGGGCCTGTGATATATCCCCTGGCGCTCCCCCTTGGGAGTACTGAAACCAGCGCCTCGCCTGAGATATCCTCACAACGTGTGTGTGAGCCTGAGCGCGAAGTACCAGGAGTGCGAGTGAGTCTGCATATGAGTGATCCCGAGCATGAGAAACCTGAGTATCAGGAACCTAAGAGCAAGTGCATCTGAGTACGAATGAGTCTGAATATGGGTGAATCTATATGTGAGTGAGTCAGAGAATGATGGCCTGAGGGTGGGAGGTGTGAGTGTGAGGTGTTCCGCGCGGTCTAAATAATAACAAGAACCCCATCCTTAGGATATGGGGAAGAAACTATTATCATTATCCAACCTGACAAGGTCAGGAAATGTCCACCCCGACGTGCGTCGCGTCTGACCACTCACCTGCGAGGATGTTTCAGGCGATATCAGCCAGACCGCCTCCGGTCAGGGCGTCTCCGAGCCCACAGTTGCGAGGATGACTCAGGCTAAACTGGCCGGACAACGTGTTGCGTGGCCTCTCGGGGCATCTCCGACCTCAGAAGCGCGAGTGTATCTCGGGCGAAACAGGCAGGACCACATCAGGTCAGGGCATGTGGAAGCTAAACGTGTCAAATTGCAAGGATGTTTGAGGCGAACCTGGCCTGACAAACTGTTCCGTGGCATCTCGAAGCCAGGATCAACATCATCATCATCATCATCATCATCATCATCATCAGCAGCAGCAGCATCATCATCATCAGTATCATCAGCATCATCATCACCACCATCATCATCACCACCACCATCATCATCATCATCATCATCATCATCAGCATCATCATCATCATCATCATCATCATCATCATCATCATCATCATCATCAGCATCATCATCATCGTCATCATCATCATTGTCATCATCACCATCACCATCACCATCACGATCACCATCACCATCATCGTCATCGTCGTCATCATCATCATCACCATCATCATCACCACCACCACAACCACAACCACCACCACCACCATCATCACCACCATCAACGTCATCATCATCACCATCATCATCATTACCCACCATCACCATCACCATCATTATTAGCATCACCATCATCATCATCACCATCATGTTCTTAGTCATCATCATCGCCATCATCAGTATCATCATCACAACCATCACCAGCATCACCAGCATCATCAACAACATCATCATCATCATCATCATCATCATCATCATCATCATCATCATCATCATCATCATCATCATCATCATCGTCGTGTCCGTCGTCGTCGTCGTCGTTGTCGCTGTCATCATCATCATCATCATCATCATCATCATCATCATCATCATCATCATCATCATCATCATCATCATCATCAGCATCAGCATCATCATCATCATCATCGTCATGATCGTCATGGGAGCCGCTCGAGGAGCGGAAGGCCAAAAAGGCGAGGAGGAGGAGGAGGCGAGGGGAAAGAGAACGAGGAGAGGCCAAAAAGCAGCGGAAGAAGAGGATACGGCCTTGCAGAAGCCCAACCTGGCCTCCAAATGCTCTCAAGAGAACCCAATATCGACCAAAGACGGCCCAGCATACCCCCTGGACACCAGGAACCAGAAGTCGCCGGACAACCGGAGCGAAACTCGAGAAGGCATCTCGGGCCCGTCGCCCCGACGAGAAACACAAACGCCTAACCTAGACGAACGCAGGAAGGCAACCCATTGACCCTGGCTTGAGGAAGTTCCCAAGCCATGAAGTCAACTGTACGGAGAACCTCCTTTGGGGTCGGCGTCAGAGGCGGTAGCCTTTAGATCCGGCCGCTCCCGCCCTGCGGGTTGGGCCGTGCGAGACCTCTCTGACAGAATGTTTGGCATAGTCTTTAGCCCCGTTCGCCAGTGCCTGGTCAAAAACCTGCCTGAAAATCCATCCGAGGGGGCCCCACTCTGCCGCCGGCCCCCCCCCCCCTTCCTTCAAGGCCCGGAACAGCCCGGGGACGACCCAAGAGCGCCCCAAACCAGTCCAAGAGAGCCCCTAGACGGTCCAAGAGAGCCTCCGGACGGTTCCAGATCGTTCCAAGACGCCCAAGATGGCCTCCAGACGGAGCAAGACGCCTCCGAAGCGCCCCAAGAGGCCTGCAAGAGCACCCCCAAGAGAGCCCCAAGAGACAAAAATCTTTGATTTGTCGATGGTTTTGGAAGGATTTTCGCGTTCTCCCCATTTTGGGTTACCGATGCTCTAAGACGGCCCAAGAGGCCCCGGAGATCGCCCCAAGACGGCCCAACAAGCCCCCAAGAGAGCTCCAAGACAGCCCAGGAGGGCCCCAAGACGGCCCAAGAGGCTCACGGGACGGCCCAAGAGGGGCCCCAGGACGGCCCCAAGAAGGCACCCAGAAGGGGAACCCGAATGAACATTTCGAGCTTTCGAGAGGCCCCCAGAGGCCCCCGGGAGGCCCCCAAGAGGCCCCAAGAGAGCCCCAAGAGGCCCCAAGAGGGTCCCAAAAGGCTCCCACGAAGCCCCCAGGAGGCCCCCAAGAGGCCCCTAAACTCCCCGCAGATGCCCCCGAGAGCCCTTTCGCGAGACCCCAAGAAGCGTCCATGAGGACTCCGACCCAAAGCCCACGCGTCACGACTTTCGATGCCGCGCACCACTTCGGAAAGCTCCCAGGGAGCGGCCGGTGATGCGCCGCTGGGGTCCTCGATTTCTCTCTTCCCGCTGCTCCGGGTCGAAATCTGTCCGAGTCTGGAGGCGGCCGCTCCTTTGGGGGGAAACCTGGGAGCTGGGTGCTTGAAGCATCCAGACGGGGCCGCGGAGCTGGCCGATGGATTGGAGCCGCACGGCGCTGGGTCACCGCGCCTCCGCAACCAGCAGCAGCTGCAGCACCTCCACGGCCATGTCGGAGGACTGGAAAGTGCGCGGCTCGACGCGGAGGCCGACCAGGTGGCGCCCAGGCCCGAGCGGGCCGATGGGCTGGCACAAGTCACCGGCGCCGGTGCAGCCTGGGCAGTACGAGCCACCAGCCTGCGCAAAGAGGCGTTTGTGGAGCTCCACCAGACGCTCTTGGGGCACGGCTTTGCCGTCCAAAGAGAAAGCCACGTCGCTCACCTCGGGCCGCGTCCTCTCCTTTTCGGACCCGAGCTTCTTAGCCATCTCTGCCTCGGTCAGGCAGCAGGACCCATCTCCCCTGCGAGCGAACTGCATGCGCCTCCGGATCATGCTGTTGCCGAAGCTCGGGCCGGGCGAAAGGGGGGGATAGCATAAGGGGGGGTGAGAATCAGCTCCCGTAGCTGATTTTCCCAGCGCCTCCCGGCGCCGGAGGCGGCTACGTATCGAGGAAGGGGCCCGGCGGCGGGGCCGAAACCAGCTGCATGCAGCAGCTTCCGCAACCCCCCCTTTCCCCATCCCCCCCTTTCGTTCGGCCCGAGAAGCCCTTGCCCCACCAGCGCTGCGAGACGGAGGCGACGTAGCCCTTGGCACCCTCGCAGGCCCAGCCGCAGGGCGCCTCGCAGACCAGCGCGAAGGCCTCGGGCACGGACCCGGGCACGTCCGCCTGCAGGACCAGCTCCCCGCTCGCGTTCGTGCCGCGGTACACGCGGCGCAAGTCCCTGAGGCCCGTCCCCTTCGGCACCGTGGCGTGCCAAGACAGGACGCGCTCCCAGCTGCCGCTCGACTCCGGCGCCACGGCAAGCGCCAGGTCCGTGCCATCGGGCCGCGGCTCCGACCCAGTGAGGCACTGCAGGGTCGCCAGAGTGCCGCAGGAGCGGCCCTTCTGCTGAGCCACCGCGTTGCCCACGAGCGGATTGTCGTCTGTGGGGCCACGCAGGATGCGCGGCGGTCCGCTCGCCGGCTCGGCCAGGATGTCGGCAAGCTGGGTCAAGATGTAATGCCCGATCATGTGCGCGATCAACAGATGGCCAAGGGGGCCAGGGTGCCAATTGATGTTTAAGGCCTTCTCCCGGGACTGCCACCAAACGTCTTCCGCGACAAGTGGAGTGGGCGCGCTGACGAGCACGGGGTAGAATCCCAGCCCGGCCTTTACGAAGTCGTCAGCCACCCTAGTCTCCTGCAGCCACTGCTTGGTCATCTCGTTGCTGCGTGGCATGTGGAGCTTCTCCAGCTTTATCAGCTGCACCTGCTTCCGCCACTCCTCGAGCTCATCCGCAGACACGTACTCCTCCGACGCGTACCAAGTGGCATTGCGCCATGGCTTGCTGGGGCCGAGGTCTTCCCAGCGCTTCGCTGTCTTCCCCAGAACCTCGCGCTCTTTTCTCTGGAGGGAGAGCCACTCCTCGAACTCGAGGCCCGTGTTGGCGAAGGCGAACACGACAGGCCTGCGCTTCATGCCCGAGGCTTCCTGCAGAAAATGGTACCCTTCGCACGCCGGGTCGTGGAACATCCACCACTCCCACGTCAACGCGTCCGCCTCGTGGTTCGTTTTCGCTGCGAGACACCCCGTCGCGAAGGGCGCCTCGCCCCATCCGCCGACGCCGAAGTTCTCGACCCTGAGGCCCATGCCCAAGGCTTCGAACGTGGGCCGCAGCACCTCCTCGAGCATCACAGGCCACGACTGATTGAAATCCGCCACCGCGTTTCGCAGAGGTGAGCGTGTCAGGCCGTTTCTCATTTCTTGACGTATGCTGCACCTTACAAGCCAGTAGCTAGCAATTTCAGCTTTGAACCGCATGCCCCCAGACTTCGGAAACTCAAATCAAGGCACGATGAGCTCTGCAGTATCTAGGGTGGGTAGGGTGCGTGCCAGCTTCTCCCACGCCGCCTCTTGGCCCCCCAAGGCAGGGGTCCTCGACATAGCACTGGCCCGAGACCGCTCCTTGATCCCCCGTGCGTCCGCATGCTTCCAACACGGTTCTGGCATCTCAGCAGACAAAACGAGGCACTCCGAAGCGGCCTGACGACCCTGGAGAAATACCCCACGAGGCGGAGCACCCTGCATGGGGCCCTAGAGACTCGGCAGGCTGATGGGATGTTCGAAGCACGATGCGACATAGTCTCAATGCGTGAGGCTCGCCAGACTAGAGGGCCAACATGGCCGCCAACAGGCCGTCAAGCGGCCTCCTACCCGCCCAGGCGGCTGTCTGGAGGGACCCAAGAGGAGGCGCCCGGACGACCCGACGTCGCTCCAGGATAAGCCTAACACCAAGCCACGAAGCCTACGACATGACCCTCGGAAGTCCCGCGACTGCCTCCAGACCGCCCTCCCCGCCCAAACAGGAGAAGGAGGAGAAGGAGAAGGAGGCGGAGGCGGAGAAGGAGGAGGAGGAGGAGGAGAAGGAGGAGGAGGAGGAGGAGGAGAAGGAGGCGGAGGAGGAGGAGGAGAAGGAGGAGGAGGAGGAGAAGGAGGCGGAGGAGGAGGAGGAGGAGAAGGAGGAGGGGGAGGAAACGTGTCCAGGACGGGTCCCGCGCCACCCAGCCGTGCCCAGTGCCCCCGAAGCGGCGCGAGACGACGCCGAACAGGGTCTCCAGCACGCGCCAGCAGACCACCCTGGGGTGCCAGGTAGGCACCCTCCTCCTCCTCCTCCTCCTCTCCTCCTCCTCCTCCCTCCCTCCTCCTCCTCCCTCCTCTCCTCTCCCTCCTCCTCCTCCTCCTCCTCCTCCCCTCTCCTCCCCTCCCCTCCCCTCCCCTCCCCTCCCATCGACGGTCGTCTGGCGTCCCGCCTGTCCCGCGCTGCCGCCTGTGGAGCCAAGGGGCGCCGGTGTCGCGGTGCCAGGTACGCTCCAGGCACCCTGGGGTGCCATCAGACGCTGGGGCGTGCCCCATTCTTCTGAAACGTACAGTCAACCCGCAGAGTAAGGATGCGGGATAAGGATGCAAGGGCCTTGGACGCCCATCTCGAAGCGTTTCGAGCGGGGCGCGGCCAACGAAAGTGGCCAAGGATGCACCGAGGAGGCAAGGATGTAAGGGTGCCCTTGAGAAGGTCGCCCATCCTTACTCTGCGGGTTGACTATAGTGACAGCATCAAAGTGCTCATCCGAAGCGAATGGTCATGTGCACACCATGTGAGCCACTGTGAGACATGTAAGGAGCTGTTGCGTTGAACACCCCGTGGGGCCAACATGAGGCGACGCCAACGGGACGGAGGCTTCAATACGTGCTTCTTCAGTACGTGCTTCTTGACTCTTGCTTCTCCAGTGCTGTCTCCTTGCTAGTGTCTGCCAGGGGGAGGGGGGGAAGCTCAGCATTCAAAAACAATCACCTGGTGTGCGTGTGTGCGTGCTCCAGCCTCATGGCCGCTCTAGCTTGCCGCAGGATTCACATGGTGACGCCACCAGACGACCAAGAGAGCGCAAGGTGTCTCGAAGACCGCTCCAAGAGGCTCCGAGGAGGGCCTCAGGAACCCAAGACTTCCGAGCACGACCCCAAGATGTCCCGAAGAGGCTCCTGGGAGGCCCCACGCGCCCCCCGGAGAGGCAAACACCTTGAACAACCCTGGTGCTGTCAAGCCTTGTCGACGGCCCCACGTGCTGCTCCTGGGATGTCCCAAGATCGCTCCTGGGCGGCTTCCGGAGCCCCCGAGACTGCCCGAGGCAGCCCCGAAACGGCCCCCGAAGGCCCCGAGGTGCCGCCGAGATCGCCGAGGGCGGCCCAACAACGCCCAAATTTGGGCCTCGGTGTGCCCCCAAGTTGGGCCTCGGAGACCCCCAAATGGCCGAATCGTTTCCAAAAGGAGGCCCGAGACGCTCGAAGCTGCCTCCCGGGGGCCCCCGGGGCGCCCCCCCGCCCCAAGCTCGTCGCAGTCTGGCCGCGAGAGGCCTCGGCCCGCGGGGCCGCTGGCAGAGGGGGCCGCCTCTCAGGTCGCGCACACGTCGCTCCTCTCCAGTCGTGCTCGTTTCCAGTTGTGCTCGTTTCTAATTGTTCCTGGCCCCCTAGTGGCCAGGAAGAGGCCCAGGATAGAACAATCAGAGATGAAAGGATCTCGGCCCCCCCTAAAAAAACAAAGAACGTTCGAAGAATCAGACATGAACCATGTGTAGTAGAGGGGGGGGAGAGAGAGAGAGAGAGAAGACGAACAAGGACAGGAACGACGAAACAGCAGGAGACGCAAGGCGGCACGCTTGGCACCTCCGAGGGAGGGCGGAATCTAGTAGCTTGGATCTGCCTGCGTATCGCGCCATTCTCCTGACCCCCAAGTTGTGCAGCAAAGCGGCGACAGTTGCAATCTTGGAGCCTCCCAGGGAGGGGGAGAGCAACAAGTGAACGCTTGGCAGCACCGAGGGAGGGCGAGGCATGACAATAATAATAGACGAGGGACGCTTTCGGGAGATCAGGCGACGCTGGGGATAAGATGAGACGAGAACAAGGAGGAGGAACACGTACCCCGCTCAACGTGGGGATCCAACATTTGAGGTTTGTGAGCACACATTTGAGAACACATTTTCCCCACAACCTGTGAGGTTATTGCTTTCTCTGCGCACCTCCACGAAATTCGCTGGCCCACCGCGCCAGAGGCGTGCTACAATCTCCGGCAACTGGTTAACAATATATTCTGAATCGCGCGCGCGCGGGGCGGCTTCTGGGGGCTCCCGGACGACAATTACCCCGGACAGGTCCCGACCAGTGCGGCTCAGAGATGGTATTCCTCCTCGGCGCTGCCTTCCAAGCCTCCCAGAGCGCTCCAGGAACGCGCCAAAAAGGCTCCGAGACGCCCCCAAGACGATCCAAGGGGCTCCGAGTCGCCGAAAGATTGCTCCAAGACGCCCATGCTGGTCACCAGACGGCCCCAGACGCCGCCGAGAAGCTCCAAGAGAGCCTCAAAAGGTCCTCCAAGAGGGCCCCAACAAGAAAAAATCGCTCCGTTTCCTTAGGACAACGTGCACTTCTGGCATAAACGACGTTCGGAGGTAAACAGCGTCCAAGACTGGCCCAACATGCCCCCAAGATGCGCCCAAGAAGGCCCAAGAGGGCTCCAAGACGACCCAAGAGGGCTGCCTTCCAGGCCTCCCAGCGCTGCAGGAACGCGCCAAGAAGGCTCCGAGACGCCCCCGAGACGGTCCAAGGGGCGCCGAGACGCCGAAAGATTGCTCCAAGACGCCCACGCTGGTCTCCAGACGGCCCTGGACGCCGCCGAGAAGCTCCAAGAGAGCCTCAAGAGGCACTCCAAGAGGGCCCCAAGTCCCATTTCCTTAGGACAACGTGCACTTCTGGCATAGACGACGTTCGGAGGTAAACAGCGTCCAAGACTGCCCAAGAGCCCCCCAAGATCGCCCCAAGATGGCCCAACATGCCCCCAAGATGCGCCCAAGAGGGCCCAAGAGGGCTCCAAGACGACCCAAGAGGGCTGCCTTCCAGGCCTCCCAAGGCGCCCAAGGAACGCGCCAAGAAAGCTTCGAGACGCCCCCGAGACGGCCCAAGGGGCCCCGAGTCGCCGAAAGATTGCTCCACGGCGGCCATGCGGGTCCCCAGACGGCCCTAGACGCCGCCGAGAAGCTCCAAGAGAGCCTCAAGAGGCCCTCCAAGAGGTCCCAACCAAGCAAATGTCGCTGCATGTCCTTGGGGCAACGTGCATTTCTGGCATAGGTCGACGTTCGGAGGTTCACAGCGTCCAAGACTGCTCAAGAGCCTTCCAAGATCGCCCCAAGATGGCCCAACATGCCACCAAGATGCGCCCAAGAGGGCCCAAGAAGGCCCAAGAGGACTCCAAGACGACCCAAGAGGGCTGCCTTCCAGGCCTCCCAGAGCGCTCCAGGAACGCGCCAAGAAGGCTCCGAGACGCCCCCGAGACGGTCCAAGGGGCCCCCAGTCGCCGAGATATTGCTCCAAGACGCCCACGCTGGTCTCCAGACGGCCCTGGACGCCGCCGAGAAGCTCCAATAGAGCCACAAGAGGCCCTCCAAGAGGGCCCCAACAAGCAACAATCGCCCCGCTTCCTTAGGACAACGTGCACTTCTGGCATAGACGACGTTCAGAGCAGCGTCCAAGACTGGCCAAGAGCCCCCCAAGGTCGCCCCAAGATGGCCGAACATGCCCCCAAGATGCGCCAAAGAGGGCCCAAGAGGGCTCCAAGACGGCCCAAGGGGACTCCAAGACGGCCCAAGACGCCCCCAGAGAGGGAACTCGAAAAGACATTTGAAGCTTTCCCACTCCAGGGACCCCTCCGAGACCGCCAGCAGGCTCCCAAGAAGCACCCAGAAGTCCCAAGAAGCACCCGACAGGCCCAAAATCAAGCCCCCAGGATAACCAAACGGCCCTGACGAGGCCTCAAGAAGCTTCAAAACTGCATCCAAAAGTCTTCCGAGACACCTGCCAGGAGACCCCAACACCGCCCCATCAAATGTCCCCTGCGCCACATCGACAATCCCCAGAGTGAGCATCCACGACCAGCAAGCCCCCACGAAGGCACCCGAAGTCCAACAAAGCACCACACAACTAGCCGCCCCGCGAAACGCGACCGGTCCCCCTGACAACCCCCAAGAAATCCAAACGAATCGCCCCAGCATCATGCCCAACGCAACGCCTCAGACAACAGCCGACGCCCCTGCAGCTCAACACCGCCAACGAACACTAGGCCAGTCGACGCAGCAGTGCCCCAAAATCAGCCGGCGGAATGAGCGGAGCGATTGAATACTAACCTACCCACCCAACATCATCACCGTCATGTTCATCACCAACCGTCATCAACACGCGCAGTCACGCACTCGCACCACCACCATCATCATCACCACCGCCACCACTACCATAATAATAATAATAATCATCATCATCATCATCAGCATCATCATCATCAGCATCATCAGCATCATCATCATTATTATGTTCATCATCATGAGGTTCCTCACCATCACCATCTCATCATCATCAGCATCATCATAATGATCAGCATCATCATGCTCGTCATCATCACCAGCATCGTCATCATCAACATAATCGCCATAATCAGCAACGGCAGCAGCATCAGCCTCATAATCATCATCAGCATCGGCGGCAGAATCATAATCATCATGCTCAGCATCATCATGACCATCATCACCATCATCGTCATCGTCACAGTCACCATTATCACCATGATCAGCATCATACGCAGCATCGCCGCAATTACCATCATCGCCACCACCATCACCATCATCATTATCATCACCTCCATCACCATCACCATCACCATCACCATCATCAGCATCAAAAACATTGCCAGCATCATCACCATCATCATCACCATCATCATAATCCTCATCCTCATCCTCATCATCATCATCATCATCAGCATCCTCATCATCACCACCATCATCATAACCATCACCATCACCATCACCATCACCATCACCACCACCACCACCACCACCATCATCATCATCATCATCATCATCATCATCATCATCATCATCATCGTCATCGTC